AAAGCATTTGCCCACCCTGGGTTTTGGTGGTGTGGCATCTTGGCTTGGGGAAAATAGACTTTTCAGTGCCTTTTGTACCTGTTGTGGATCAGTTCTGGGCTGAAACCTTTCAGCCAGGTACTGCCTGCTGCTTTCTGACTTCCCTAAGAGAGCTGCTCTGTGCTCTGCTTGCTGGGGATCCATTATTCCAGGTGGAAAGCAGGGCAAAAAAGGGTTTTTTAACTGTAAGAAGGGTAGAAAATGTAAGCAAAATAATAATTCCACACTAGAAGTTTGGGGAGAGACAGACATTAAAAACTACTGTACCTTCTTAAATTATGAAGGAGATGCATTCACCTCCTAAATTATCTTTGAATATTAATGCTTGCAAGTAGTGTGTTTGTCTTCTGACATTTTCTCTGAACAAGGGTGTGACTGCCCACGTTGATGGGGGGTGATGTGCAGGACACAGACTGACACCTGGAATCTCTTTATTTGCAGGAGGATAACGTAAAGCTTTCTGTCAACGATTTCCTAATTAAAGCTTCTGCTTTGGCATGCTTGAAGGTGCCTGAGGCAAATTCTTCGTGGATGGACACAGTTATTAGGCAGTAAGTTTATGGTGCTGTCAAAGCCAGAGACTTTCTTTGTTCAGTGGAGAGTTCACGGCAAAACAGAACCGCTGGGATTTGAGGGAGAGCAAAAAAAGGTTGAGGGTTTCTCTTTAAAGTGCTAAGATGAAATAACTGTGGCCAAATTCATGTTAATTTAGGGCTGTCTGAACAGTGCTGAGTTCTTCCTGCTGGAAGAAGGTGGCACGTGTCTGTGTGTTGCAGGAACCACGTGGTGGACGTGAGCGTGGCCGTCAGCACCCCGGCGGGGCTCATCACCCCCATCGTGTTCAACGCCCACATCAAGGGCCTGGATGCCATCAGCAAGGATGTGGCTTCCTTGGCAGCCAAAGCCAGGGAAGGGAAACTTCAGCCTCACGAATTCCAGGTGAGAAACTGGAGCCTGTTCAGTGCCCAGCCACCCTCTGGCTTTTCCTAATATCCAACCGCCTTTTCCTGATACCCATCCTAAACCTGCCCTGGCACAGCTGCAGCCATTCCCTGAGTCCTGCCCCTGGTCACACAGAGCAGGGCTCAGTGCCTGCTCCTCTGCTTCCCCCAGTGAGGAAGCTGCAGACCCCTCAGTCTCATGTTTCCATGAAAACACCATTTGTAGTTTGACTGTGGATGGTTTTTTTTTTTTTTTCTTGTAGGGTGGTACTTTCACAATTTCCAATTTAGGAATGTATGGGATTAAGAACTTCTCTGCCATAATCAATCCACCTCAAGCCTGCATCCTCGCAGTGGGCTCCTCAGAGCAAAGGCTGGTGCCAGCTGATAATGAGAAAGGGTAAGTTCTCACCTCATTCTGAAGCCAGACTCTGAAATAATGGCTGGTTTTCTAACACTTCCATTAGGTAATCATTTAAAACCCCCCTAAAATTTATTGTTGGCATGGTGCTTTCAGTACCTTCTGAAGTACAGTGAGATCTTGTAGGAAAAGGGCCACACAGGTGTTAAAGAGAATTGCAGTGACTGAGGAGGGATTTGCCACACATTTATTCTTGAAACCTCTTTGCAAGTGGAGGAAAGGCCATTTCTTTCTTTGAGGGGCAGGAGGTGAGGAAGTGAGTCTGGGGTCCACAACAGTTCAGGCACCTGTTCCTCTCCAACAAGCTGCTTAAATTTGCATTTAGGAAAACCTAAGGGATTGGTTATAATCCAAGTGACCTGTATATAACATCCCCCTGCTTGGAGCTTGCACTAGCACAGACCCAGGAGAATGTTTGGGTTTACTGAAAATGTTAACAGTCCTGGGTGTCTCTCCCTGATCATGAGGAAACTCATGAGGGTAAGGGGGCTCTTTCTCAGTGACTGTATGGGGCTGTTCTTGTGCTGCAGAGAAAGATGAGCTGCCTGTCCTCAGGGGAACACACAAAGGTGTATCTCAGTGTCTTAGTCCCTTAGTTTTCCTTAGAAAAGGAATGAACATGATCTGCTCTCCGGGAGTCCACAGGGAGAAACATCTGTCACCAAGCACCACCTGCTATTCCTGGCCCTCCAAGAAAAGCTTTGCCGTGCTCTGTGAGTGGCACTGACTTGCAGGGGAGCGTGTTAACCTTTTCTTTCTCTTGTTTTATTGTCTCTCCCTTCCAGCTTTGACGTGGCCAGCGTGATGTCTGTTACCCTGAGCTGTGACCATCGTGTTGTGGATGGAGCAGTGGGAGCACAGTGGCTTGCAGAGTTCAAGGGTTTCCTTGAGAAGCCAGTAACCATGCTGCTATAATTTACCCATGCAAGCAGAATTTTCCTGGGTCACACTGTTGTGTTTTAAAACAAGCTATTTAGACTGTAGTGTTCCGACTTTAAGAGAGTTCCTTTTTTTATTTAAAATATGTATTATATTATCTGGTAATGTTATTACCAGTCTGTACAGGGAAAAAAAAAAAAAGTTTGCAAAAGTGCTTTTCAGAGCAATATTACAGCTACACTGTATTTTTATACAGTTAGTTAACTTGCAAACTCTTCCAAAAACAGAGTTAAGCATCCCAGATTTAAAGCTGACCCTGGCAGAATGCCCACTGCCAGCTGCTCCTCGAAAGAGGGGTGCAAATGTCATGTTCTCAGAATTACAAACATCTCTTCACAGGAGTGCAGATGAGATTGGTCACTGAAGCGAGTCAGCAGAAGGGGGATTCCCGTGTTATCCTGTCCCTGGGGTGGGTGAGGTGGCAAACGCCCTGAGGGACTGAAGTGCCTGGGGATAGTTTCTCAAAGGCCAAGTGCCAGTGTTCCAACTCTTTCCTGGAATTTGGCCCTGGTCTGGATCCTCTCAGCTACGTGATCCCTGTTGAGCACTTTAAGGGGAGAGAGCACTGCTGTGTGTGGGGTCCCAGCTCTCAGGGGCCGCAGGGGACGTGCTGTCTGCTCGTGGACTTCCACTCACGTGCTTTTCTGTGGAAGCTCTTCAGTTGCCGTTCCTCTTCCTAAGTTAACACCGCACTCTGATGCCATGGAAGTAACTGTTTTGCAGAATGTTCAGGAGAATCCGGGTGTTGGAAGCCAATGTAGACAAATCACACATGCTGATAATCCCGCCAGTGGATATGAAATCATGTGAGGACTCGAATGTTTGGAATTTTTTATTTCAGGCATTCTAACATAGGAAGCTCTGACTTAAAGTCACTGGAATTGGAGACCTTCCCTGACTTGTCTATGTTGTGCCAGCCTCAGCAAGCTGCAGAATGTGCTCTCCATGTATATATTGTACGTAAGGTGCTTCACTAGTTCTTTGGACCTGTGTCCAGTTACCCCACTCGTTGCATCCTGCAAGGGGGTGCAGTGCTGAACATTCTTAGATTCCACTTTCCACATGGAAATGTTCATGTGAAAAGGGCAACTGTGCAGTAATGACAAAGTGACCAGGAGAATTAAGTAGGGAGGGGGGAGGAGTTTTAACAGAAAGAGTTTGAGCTGATCCGTTATTCTGTATATTGCATTAAGTACTGTCTCCTGTAAAGTTCTACAGAATTCACTAAAGATATTGAAAGAAAATACTGTGGAAATTAAATATTTTTGTGGGAACTACTTAAGTGTCTGGTTGCTGTGATACCTGGTTTTCATGCCTTGCTTAAGCAAAAAAAAAAAAAAAAAAAAAGTGCATATTTTGGATTTTAATGATCTAAAATACCCTGATTCCAGACTCGCTCTAGTGAACCCATGTTCCATTAAATGTTTGGAATTGACAACTACTAAACCCTGTTCCAGTGCTTTTCTCTTCAGTCGTGTGTGGCTTTACTGTACTGCTCTGCAGCCTTTCAGTCTGGCAGTGAAACTCACCCTATTAACCCCAGATTTCATCACCCACGTTCCAAAATTCCTGCTTTCTTGCTGTCTGCAGCAGTAACCTGGAACCTCCCTGTCTGCCCTGCTCCCCTGGGCAGCCTGCAGGACCGTGTGTGACACACCTGTGCGGGCTGTCCCAGCATTGAGGACTCGTGAGAGCTGCTCTAACCAAGTGAATCCAGTCCGTTTATTGAACAAAAAGTTTATTTGCTGCTCCTCGAGGCAACGTGAGTGATGTAGTAAAGCATCTACAGATTTTTAACTGTAGATACACAAGTACTGTAACTGTAAATATTCAAGTACTCCTTGAGTATTTGCAGTCTTTAATTTGGGGGTGCTGGCATTCCTCCATCCTTCCTTTGCTACTTGCATCCTCTAAAGGTATTTGAGATATTCACCCCTAAAGATCAAAAAGTTAATAACCTTCCCCCCAAAAACAACTCATCTAAAAGTAAGGATTCTCACTCTAGGCTTTTGTTCTCTAATCTGTGACCAGGAACGGGGCAGGATGCAGGGGTTAAGGATTTGGCTTGGCAATGTGGTGCAGAGATAACCACCCTTTTTGCTTTGTTAAATACTGCTGTAGTTGTTTCTTCATCCACCCGTTCTGGCAAACCTAGCTGTAATCTGCTGTGTTTTCCACGACCCTCAATGGTGATGTCGTCTCCTAAACCAAAAAAAAAAATGAAATACCTGATGAACTGACAGGGAATCAGCAGTGAGCGTTTCCAGGGCTGGGATGCTGGGCAGGGAACACAAGGTCGCTCTTTCTGCCGCCTTACCTTTTGACATTCTCAGGCCACACTCGGCAGCAGAGCTGACCTGGGGCAGCTCGATGCTCGGCTCAGCTTTGAGGGGCTCCTTGCTCGCATCCCTCAGGGTGCCCGGGCACGTTTGGAGTCCCCATCCCTGGCGGTGTCCAGGGCAGGACCGGCCGTGCCCCTCAGCGCTCTGGGCTGGGCGGACAAGGCGTGCGCGGGGCACAGGGCGGGCTCCGTGATCTCGGAGGTCTTTTCCAACCTCAGTGACCGTGATTAATGTGAGCTTTGGGGGGTTTTTTTCCCCCTGAGAAGAGCAGGACGCGCGGATCCCGGCGGGCCGGCCTGGCCGCGCCCGTCGCCCCGGGAGACGCCGCCGGAAGGGGCCGCCCCGCCGGTTTCCGCCCCGGCCCCGCCATCGCGGCCGGCCCGGCGCGGCCCCAGCATGTCCCGGGTGCCCGTGGGGAAGGTGCTGCTGCGGAACGTCATCCGGCACACCGGGGCACACAACAAGGTGCGGGCAGGGCAGGGCTGGCGGGCGGCCGGGGGTACGGGGCGGGTGCGGGGCATCCCGGGGGTGGGGGCATCCCGGGGGTGCGGGGACATCTCGGGGTGTGGGACATCCCGGGGTGCGGGGACGTGTTGGGGGTGTAGGGGCGTGTTGGGGGTGCGGGGATCTCACGGTGCTGCGGGTATGTGGGAGGTGCGGGGGCACGCCGGGAGTGGGGGTACAGCCCGGCCATGCGGGGACATCCCGGGATGCGGGGACGTGCTGGGGGGTGCGGGGACATCCCGGGATGCGGGGACATCCCAGTGATGCCACCCGCTGGTGCGGGACGATCGCGGTGTCCAGGGGCATCCCGGGGGTGTCACCCCGTGGTGCGGGACGATCGCGGTGTGCAGGGACATCCCGGGGGTGTCACCCCGTGGTGCGGGGACATCCCCGGGTGCGGGGACCTCCCGCCGGTGCCACCCGGTGCCGACCCGGCGAGGGGAGCGCGGGAGTGTTTGGCAAGAGATAAAAAGGGGTTTGTTGAATCCGGCCCCCGTCGTCAGCTCCTTATTCTCGCTTTCGGTTTAATCCTGTTTGTCTCACTTTAACCCCGTTTTTTGTTTTCCTGAGTGTCAGTTTAACCCTGTTTTTTCTTAAATTCGCACCCCACCGGAAGGAACTTGTATATATTTACTTGTAATCTTGTTTATTTATTTACGTACTTATGCTGTTTATAAACTTGCCCAATGAGAAGCACATTCTCTCAGGACTCCTGTGAAAATTATGGTTTGCCTTTTAAAAAGTAGGAAATCTTTAACTGTTTGGGTTTTTTCCCTTGTTGTACTGTGTGTGTGTACTTTTATTCACATCAGAGAATTTAAACTTTCTGTTAGTGTGCACAGGCAGGATTTTAGTGCGAGATGAAGCAACTCCCTTAACTTTAGCGAAGTATTTAATTAATCCCTGTCATAATTCAGCAGGTCCAACTTGTTTATTCCATATATTTATGAAGTCACTCATGTACAGTCAGTGTCTATAACCATAAATTTGTGCCAAGCCACACAGTATCAGATGCTGGGGTATTGTTGGCTTGGTCCCTCCAGATGCTATTTATTCACTGGAGTCTGTAACAGTCCATATGTTTGGGATGGCAGTGAATGACAGGGCAGCTGAGGTGGTAAAATCAGTCAAACCCACCATTTTTTATCCTTCTCCTTAAGTGCTTTGATAGGGAACTACCATCAAGAGGTTCTCCTTTTGGTACCACTAAATATGTATATAAATAATGTGTTTGAGGGTGGTAGGAAAGGTTGCTGTGGGTTTTTCTCAGCAGGAGTGTTGAGGTTGGAGCTGATGTCACGCGCTACATGACTGTGAAGTCTCCCTGATGTTAAACTTGTTTCCCTTCTGTGACTTTCAGCTTCAGGAAGAGACAGAAATGTGGAAAATAAGGGAGTGGGAGAAGCAGACAGAAGAGACTTACTGGAAAAGGCAAAGCAGAATGCTGTCAGACACCTCCAGGTGAGACACCACAGGCAGATTTCTTCTCTCCTTAAGGAGTCCCTGGGAAGAGGTCAGGCCTGTGCTTTGGTCTGACCATTTATGCCTTCATCTAGATGTGTAACCTTGGAGGTTATTAATGACTGAGCTGGGTTCTGGGGGGCCCTGGGGGTGGTTTCTCCCTCAGGGCTGGGCTGAAGGACATGCTCTCTCTCCCCAGCAGCCGCATGCGCAGCGATGGCTTCGATGAGGAGGGACACAGGGCTGAGTGGAAAACCAGGAACCCGCAGCTCCTTGACCTGGTGGAAGATGATCTCCTCAGGGCCCGATCGTGGAATAAAAAGCTCTACGAATGTGAAGCCAACATGCCAGACAGGTATGTGGGGACACTCATGTTCTGTGATTATAACTGTAATTAAAATACCTTTTTGGGGTACTGTATCAAAAAACTCTACATTTCTCTGTTCCATGTGCGTTTGAGTTCACCTTGAGAATGAATAAGTGACATGCACGAACTTCTGCAGTGTCACAGAACACCTAATTTGAGTTTCTAAGCCACACTAAGCAGCAAGAGCTCAGCCCTAAGCTTAATATTTATTATTTTGCCCAAGGAGCTTAAAAGAATCTCAAGAAACCCAAACTCTAGTGCTCTCCAGGGTTGTTTCAAAGAAATTTGAGTTGTAGTTTTCTCTAACTACAAATGGAAAAGAGACCGAGAACTTAAGGTGCATTTAACTAGCACCAACCCAATCAGCCATATTTCCTTCCTCCTTGTCTGAACTCATGTCTTTTCTGTGGCTCTGGCTTTTCAGAATTCTATTTCTGTCCTCAAACACCTTACCTGTTTCTGACAGATGGTTCTGCTTTGTTACAGGTGGGGGCACAGTGGGTATAAAGAGCTGTACCCTGAGGAATTCGATACAGACAGGTAAGGCAAGCAGCTCTACTGATGGATCCAGAATCCTCCTTCTGTCAAATCAGGCAGGGAATTTTACAACCTGAGTTTCAAATTTGGGATACAGATCAGCCTGGAATGTAAAAGCCTTACTGTTACATGAAAAAAAATCAGTTCATGTGGTGTGAGTCTTAGGAGGGGATAGAAATTTTTTTTAATAATTAGACATTGAGCTTTAGCTGGAGTTACCGAAATCTGTGGATCTGGAAGGTAAATAAATCCTTGCAGTGTCCTGGAGAGTGGAGACTTGACTGAAAAATAAGATCTTAGGCAGAATTTTATTATTTTTAACCTGCACCCAGCAGGATCATCAACGGTGAGCACCCTCCTGTTCTCTTTGCAGTGACCAGCAAGAAGGAGATGAGCAAAACGCTGTCAATGGGAAGAAGAAATCCCACCTGGGGAAGCAGACTGCCCGTGAGTCCCACAAGAGGAAAAAAACAAAGAAATCCCACAAGAAGAAGCAGAAAAAGCGCTCCCACAAAAAAAGGAAGAAAAAGAAAAAGGAGCAGGGGAAAACTTCCACAGATTCCTCCCGGGAGAGCGAGTGCTCGGCAGAGGAGACTCCAGGCACCCGGAGGGGAAAACACAAGCGCAAGAAAAAGACCAGGAAAGTGCCTGCCAAGGAACCTACCTCTTCTTCTGGGCAGGACAGTGACTTTTCCCATGCAAGCAGCTCATGCACCAGCAGCTCTGAGGACAGTGAGTCTGAGGGGAGGAAAGAGAAACGGCCCCCAAGGAAGAGGAAGAAAGGTCCCAGCTCTGCGTCGGAGAGGCAGAGTGAAGTGCCAGAGAAGAGGAGCAAGAGGAAGAACTGGAAGGTGGCGGGTGATGAGAAGTCTGAGGACAGCTCAGATGAGGACTGACGGGCCTGGGCTGCAGCTCAAACTGTGAGGGGGAGGACAGGGCCGGGTATTTATTGTTCAGCACTGCCCTATGGTACAACTTGTCCCAGCACTGTGGTTTATGCCCATCCTGCCAGCCCGCAGGCAGGAGCTGAGCCCTGGCAGCCTGCAGGAGGGGCTCCCTTGCTTTCCAGGGACTTGGCATTCCGAAATCCAGGAGAGCAGTTACCTGTCTGACAAGCAGGCTTGTCCTGCCAACTTCAGATTCTTTCTCTGTGACCAGGTTGACCTCCGATGCCCAAAAACATTACATGCTGTCTGCAGGGGGGAGGCAGGCACGTTTGCACCCTTTTTGGTGTTTTTTTTTTTTTTAAATTAAGTTTTAACAGGTTGCTTTTCTGGATTACCTAAATAATGGCACGGAGAGAGGTCAGACAACAAGTCTGACAGCAGAGGAGATGCCACCGGATTTAACCCCACAGTAGCTTTGTCTTCCCATCCTGCACCAAAAGCAGACCTGTGGGGGCATGCACAGGGTTAGCTGGACACAGCAGGGAGCTGAGGGAATACTCTCATTCCAGCTGAAGGTGCAGTGACTAATTCCATAAAGATGAAGAAAAGACACCAGTGCATTTGCTTGGTTTAGACTCCTCTCCCAAGCCTGCTGTGGGCTGGCCATCATGTCTACCTTCCTTCACTCTCTCTGGGGATGCTGAAACCATTTGTGCTGAAAGAGAGGCCTTGGTGGGTGTCGTGCTGTGTCTCTGGTGTGCCCAGTGTGTTACTGGAGAAACTGGTACTGGGCCTTTCTCCCTGCAGCGAACAGCCAAGCCTTTTAATAAAACAAACCAACCCAGATGTGCCTGATGCTTCTGTCATTGCTTTGGAGCAAAGCCCGGGCACAGAGCAGAGGCCTGAGAAGTCTGGGTGGTGCTGGTGTTCTCCCTGGGCCGTGTGTTTGTGCCTGGCCACACCTGGAGGTGACACGAGGGAAGGAGCCAGCGGGGATGAGCACACTGTGTGGTGTGATGGTTGTTTTGGTGAGCAGCCACAGCCTGAACAAAGCACAGACGCCGCTGCTCAGCCCTGCGGTAACAATGCAGCTGCTCTAGCACACGCAGACGTCCACAGAGGTGTTCATTTATAAACTTCCCTTGCACAGAGGCGAGAATGCGGGCGGGGAGCGCCTGGCTGCGGCGGCGTGCGGTGCAAAACAGGGTCAATCACACGGGATGGCAGACTGCGCTGGGAGGGACCCGGGATAGGTCGGTTCCCTCCGTGTCCCCGGTTCCCGTCGGCAATCGCAGTATTCCCCGGTTTTCCCAGTGTCCCCGGTGTTCCCAGTGTTCCCGGTGTTCCCAGTGTCCCCGGTTTCCCAGTGTTCCCGGTACCCCCGGCCCCGCGGAAGGGGAAGCGCCGCCGCCGTTTCCGCGTCCGGGCGCGGTGCCCTTGGAGCGGACATGGCGCTGCTGCGGCCCCGCGGGGCCGCCATGGGTGAGTGACCCTCGGGGCGGGCGAGGGACACCCCCGGGGGGGTGCGGGATCCCCCCACACCCCGGTGACCACCTCGCTCCCCTCCTTTCCCCGTTGTCCCCGCAGCTCTGGCCCTGCTCCGCCGCCCCGCCGTGCTCGCCGCCGCCCGCAGCGCCCCGGCCCGGGACAGCCACGGCCACGGCCCGGCCCCGCAGGGACAACACGGTAAGTGCGTGTCTGGGGGGTGTTCTGGGGTGGGCTGAGCAGGGGTGGGGTTCCCCGGAGCCCCCCTCGCAGCGCTGGGCTCGGCAGTGCGGGCTGGGGGGCCGTGGTGGCACCCCCGGCACAGCCCTGGGCCAGACCGGCCACGGGGATGTTCAAACCCTGCGGCGTCAGCTCGGCTGTCAAAGCCAAGAGAAGGGGGAAGGGGTGGGGGGTGACAATCGTTATTTACAGTGTTTGCCTCCCTGCCGAAGCCCTTCCCGGGGAAGCGTCCGGACATCGCTCGCTGGTGGGAAGTAGAGAATAAACCTGCCGGGTTTTTTTTCCTCTTTGCTTGTGCGCCCGCAGGCTTTGGCTTTTGCTTTAGTGAAGGGCCTCGTCTCGACCTACGGGTTGTTTTCTGCCTTGTTGTGTCTCCCCGGTCCGGCTGGGAGCGGCTCGGTGGGCACCTGGTGTGGCAGCACAGGGTGGCAGTGGGTGTGCGGGGTTTTCCCAGCGTCAGGGAAGCCGCTTTGCTCAGGTGGTACCTCCCCTATCCCTGGGAGTGCTCAGGGCCAGGCTGGATGGAGCTCCGAGCATCCTGGTCCAGTGGAAGGTGTCCCTGCCCAGGGCAAGGGGGTTTGGGACTAAATGGTCCTTAAGGTCCATTCCAACCTCAGCCTTCTGTGATTCTATTAAAAAGGGTTATAAGGGACCAGGTCTTGCGCTGGGTCTGCCAAGGGACCAGGAGAGGTGCAGGGATAAAGGACAGAGGTGATGGAGGTTGTTGTGGCACAGTGGTGCCAAGGGCACAAGAATGAGATGAGCTTTAAGGTCCCTTCCAGCCCAAACCAGTCTGTGATTCCATAATATTTTTGGCCAGGTAAGAGATTTTAAGTGGCAGCTGTGAGGAACTAGGGGCAGAAAGGATTTACTCGTGGTACAGTGGTTTCTCTCGGTCTCTTCCTGGGTGATGCAGGGTTACAGGTGTTACCAGCAAAGCCACTGCAGGAGAAAATAATCCTATGGGCCCCCTGAGCTGAGGGGAAAGCTGTGAAGTGCTGGGTGTTGTTAAGGCAGGAAGGTAACTGTGCAGAGGTGTTATTTGTCACAAATAATTGTGCTATTGTGGTGGCTCTGGTTGTCTGTAATGTGTTACCATCACCTTCAGCAGCACTATTTGCACTTAATAGCATCTTGATTTGCACTCTGTGTCTGGGTGTGGTTTAAGACAAGGTCTGTGCAATGTCACACTGCAGGGATGTGAAACTGGGATTTGGGATGTCAGTGCCCAGTGTGGGAGTGGCCGGGAGTCCTTCAACAGGAGAGCTGTTTCTCCTTGCAGGCGGTTCCAAGGCTGCATCCCTGCACTGGACAGGGGAGCGAGCTGTCAGCGTGTTCCTGCTGGGGCTCCTCCCTGCAGCCTACCTGTGCCCAGGACCTGCTGTGGACTATTCCCTGGCCGCTGCCCTCACCCTCCACGGCCACTGGTAAGCACAGAGCCCCTCAGGATCAAAGTCAGGGTGGCTTCAAGCCTTCTGGCTTAAACCTGTACGTGGCAGCAAGCCCGCGGACTTATTTCCTGATAGCACCTGGGAAGGGGCCTTCCTTTGTCACACAGTTCTCTCAGAAGACAGGATATATGTTACTGTCAAGGAATCCATAGAAATTCTTCAGTGTTCTACAGTCTCTTACCTCAGCAGCACTCCCTTGCCACTGCATGTGTAGGATCTTGGGGTGTTTTTCTCTCGTAGTAGAATCAGTGTTGTACAAACAGAGGGAACAGAAACAGGGCAGAGCTATATCAACCAAGCTCTGGGCTGGCTTTGCAATCTCAGGGGTTGCCAGAGAGCCTTCACGTCCCTGAGGTGAGACTGGTTTGGAGCTCCCTGCCACGAGGATAAAGCATTTTTGTGGTGAAGATTTTTGTGGTACTTTGTGGTGCCAGGTTTTCTTAAACCTCAGTTTTCCCCCCCTCGAAATTCGTGCCAGGGGTTCTTGCACTTCCCTCACTCTGGAGCTTAACAGCATCCTGTGTCTTCTGTTGCTGGATAGTTTAAATCCAGATAAGGGGGCACTTTCAGTCTAACAGATATAGAAGAAAAACCACCCAAAGTATGGTAATTGTTTTGGTTGCCACTCATCTAAATATTCAGGAGCCTTCTGTGCCTCTGTGGCAACAGCTGGTCCCAGATCCACACCTTCCTCTTCCTGGGGAGCCAGATGAGCTGCTCTCTCTTGGAAGCAGATTCTAAGGGTTCTGTTGTCTGAGGAGCTGTGCCCAGCACCTTGTTTCCTCAGTGCCATTAACAAAGCTTGGAGCCAGTGTGTGTGTTTCCCAACAGAACATGTGCAGTTTTGGTTTTTAAACAGACACGTCTTTTCGTTGATGTCAGCGGGTAAAACAGATAAATGTTTGAGGCCTCTTGGAATGCTGGCATAACCTGGGTGGATTTGGTGGATTTCAGCGGGTGGTCTTGCCTGATTCCAGCTTTTTTCTCTTGTCCTGTAGGGGTCTTGGCCAGGTAATCACTGATTATGTCCACGGAGACACAGCCATTAAAGTGGCCAACACGGGGCTGTACGTGCTGTCGGCCGCCACCTTCGCCGGCCTCTGCTACTTTAACTACCACGACGTGGGGATCTGCAAGGCTGTGGCCATGCTCTGGAGCCTCTGAGGTGCCACCAGAGCCCCTGACACACACGATTGTTGTTCTCTGCTGCCTCTGCTTCATCGTATTTTTACCACCATTTAACGAGCGAAAAGCCAAGGGTCCGTAGTGAGAACGTCCTGCAGGGAGCTCAGAGTCCTTTAGAATGAAACACCCACCAGCAGGGAAGATGTTGGAGAAGAAAGAGTAGATTTAAGCTGGATAATGTCCATCAGAGCGAGGTGGTTTAAGCCGTGCTGTAAATTGGGATGAATTAATTGCATCCGTGAGGTGGTTTAAGCCGCGCTGTAAGTTGGGATGAATTAATTACATCAGCGGCAGACTTGCATGGCTGAAGGCAACTCTCCTTGTCGTGAGAGCTCTAGTGGGTGTTCCTTATCTGTTGTTTGGTTTCCTGTTTTGTAAAACTTGTGGAAAATTGAACTGCTTCTTCTGACATCACAACAACTGACCTGTGTGTCAGGCAGACCCTGTAACTCTTTGGACCCTGAGAGCTGGTGTAGAAAAGGGAATTACTTTTTTTCTTAATCCATGCAATAAAGACTTTACAGAAATCTTGTGTTCTGAACTGTTTCTTACTAATTCATGCTGTCCCTCTGCCCTGCTTCATTTGGCTGTTATAACACAAAATCTTCAATTCTTAGAAGTGACTTAGACTTAACACAAGAGTGATTAATGTCCCTTAGAAAAGAGAGCAATTGGCCTAGAAGAAAAATACTTTTGCCTGTTGATTTTAGGAGCATCTGACCTTCGGGGCTCCCCTGGAGTGTGAATGTTTATCTGCAGCATTTCTGGGGGTTTGTTTTCTGAATGCACTGGTCTTTATTGTCCTGTGTGACTGAAAAGGCAACAAGCACAGCCCTCCTGTCGTAGCTCGCCACGAGGGTGATGCAACATTCTTCTCTGTGTCTTGAGGGTTTTAGGGCATTTTAGGGGGGAACTGAGATTCTGGGTTTGGACTTCTTGTTTTATCTTTTCGGACCTCCATTGTACCAAGGAGTGAACAGCTATTTCCACATTCTGCTGGTACATTTGTGGTACTGTTAATGGTAAGAGGAAGAGAATTCTGTGTTGCCATCAGGCTGATTATGCAATAATGTCCAAGTTCTGTTTGAATTCTACAAGGCTTTTTGATTTTTTTTAATCTGGACCTTTAATTTTATTTGTTTATTTAGTTGCTTATTCGTGCAGTCATGGGCAAAAGCAGGTAACGGGCCACGTTTTGTCAGTCTTGTGGTCAGAACAAAGCTGGTTGCTTTGCCTGCTGTGGTCTGGTTTCAATACCAGCATAACAATCATTATGTTGTCACTGTGAGGAAGGTACAGGTCTGAGTCATGGGAAAGTCCCACCGAACCATCGGAGTTTAGATCGTAGAAAGTGTTTGATATTTTCCACTGTGAGCCCAAACACAGGCTATATCTGCATCTGTGAGACACCTCACTCAGTTAGCTCAACAGGCATTCAACATTTTAGGGATCAAATTCTGCATGTACACACTGACATTCACATTGTTGCTTCCTCATTGTGTCATTTTCTTCCCTTCTACCTGGCGAGAAAACACTCTCCTGCTTCTTTTTGTCAAAAACGTGCATTTATTTTTAAAACAATTTTTAAAATGTTTATTTCTTTTATAAGGCTTATGGTAGTTAAAACAGAAATCTGGCTTGGTTCTGGATAAAGAAAGACTGAAGTTTCTTTTATAAAAACCCAAAATATATTTTAAAACCGTTGAAGCCTGTCATTACAGGTTGTGACTTTAATTTTCACTGAATTTAGATAAACTTATCTTTGTGGTTTCGTCCACTTCATCTTTTGTTGACAGTTTCTTCAGGATTAATTTCTTTAAGTAGCCTTCTTCCTTGAAGGCCAAGAACATTCCTTCTTCCAGTGAGTATTCGAACGTAAACGCTCCGGAGCAACAAGATGCAAATGTCCTTTTGAAAAAGATGATGTTACTTTCACCAGGAATTTCTTTGGGAACTTTTCCTTCCTGAGGAAGCAAAAGGGAAGGTGTCAGTCCCAGCACAGGCCCCGAACAGCTCTCGCAGGTTTGGGTTGTTGTTTTGCCCCTCAGAGCGGGGTGTGGGAAGCGGACGCTCACCTTGAACCGAACGATCATTTCCCCACGTTCCTTCTCACAGCACATGTAGAAGCTTTTGTCCTCTATTTGCACACTGAAGGCAACAGGCATCCCTGCTGCAGGGGTGGTGGTTTTGTAGCAGTGGATGGTGAAGTGCATCCCTTGGCCTGGGTGAAAATGGTTTGTTGTTAATAGTCTGCTCAGGAGAGAGCTGCAACAACCTCGTGATGTCACACGTTCCACTGGCAACTGCTGGCTGCCTTCCCTGGATAATTTTCCTGACACAAGAGCCAGGGCTTAAATTTTTTTGGCTGCTGGCTGCACCTTTTTGACTTTCTGCAGTCATGCAGTAATGAGGTGAAGTTGCCACTCAGTGTGGGTAGGATGTCAGGCCCTTCTATGCGTGCTTCAAGTGAGACTTGGGTTTGTAAACCTGTAAATCAGATTATATCTGTATACAGGTGATCCATAAATGAATATGTGCAACAAATACAGTTCTGAATAAATTGCTGAAACATCCCCAAAAAATCCAAACCAAAACTGTAAGTATATTGTTAACTTCTAGTGCTAATACATTGTTTAAATTTTAAAACTACTTTCTGTATAAAAAATAATAATTTTGTGATCAGAGCTAACCAAAACTCTTAACAGCCCTTTTTCTGCTTGTGACTCCCTGCAGGCTCCTGGTCTAATCCAGAAACCTCACCCTTCCCCAGTGCACAAGACCCAAAATTTCAGCTCTCTTAGCTCATCTTCATTCTCACAAACGAAGTTTAAGTCCTTGCCTCAGCCTCATCTTTTAGAGTCAGTGATGGAAGGAACAAAACCACCTGGAGAGTAAAGGAGCAGTGCAGAGGTCACAGTTTAGGTGTGAAAAGGTACCCAATTGCATCTCCTGGTCTGTCACATCCTCAAAGGCTGCCAGGTTGAGGTCTGGGCGAACCACCAGCAACTCGCTGTTCACGTTCCGAAGGACTCTGAGCAGGGTCTTTTCCTTGCAAAGGGCATCACATTCCAGCTCTGTGGAGACCATAAGGAAGATTTCTTAATATTTCAGCTGCAGTGCCCTCAGCTCTGACCAGCTCAGAGGAGGAATTAAAGCAACATGAGCTCCCAGAAGGAGCAGGGGAGCTGTAGCTCTCTTTTTCTTGCAGTAGCCAAGTTTGAAACTTGTCCTCTAACAGAGCATCAGTGGATTAGTAAAGCAGGAGCAAGTTAGTTCATGTGAAACCGGTGGTGCAGTTATAAATGATGAGCTCTCAGCTTACCATCGTCATCTTGGTTCCAAGTGAGCAATGAGGGGGAAAAAAAAAAAAAAAGAGAAAGGAAAAACAAGATTAATCTCCGCCCCCACAAAAGAAACCACCTTCCACCCTGGCAAGGCTGGGAGCCAGGCAAACACCTACATGTTGCACTCCCCAGGCTGACCTGACATCACTCCAGAGAGTGTTTTATTTGTGAGCCAGACAAACGCATCGCGATGATGAAAACATCAGTCATTTGAGAACTGCAGTTACCACCAAACCAGAGGTATGCAAAGTGTTTTAGGGTTATTTAAGGGTGAACAGGTCTGGTTAAGCCTGTAACCGAGCAATAATTGCATGGGAATTTTTGTTTTAATCAGAACCTTCTTTCTGAGTGAGCAAAAGGACAAGAATTTAATTGCTTCTAAAGAACAAACTGTTTTCTAACTAACTTTATAAGATTGGAACTTGCTCCCTTACTCCAAGCCCACCCCACAGTATTCCAAAGTTCTGAGTGTCCTTTGTAACACTTAAAACTGAAGTTTATGGGAAAATTAGCTGAAATCAGACAAACAAATGACTTGCATTAAATCAGTATTCAAATAGGAAAGGTTATTAAATGCTTTCCAGATAATAATTACCGTCAAAATAGAGGCAGAAGTTTTTTCCAAGTTTTACTGCACACACCAGGATCTCATCAGCACTCATCTTCACCCTGCCAGAGGTGCAGGGAGAGGGTTCAGATTTAAGCACAATGCTTCTTTATAAACCTAAATCCACACAGACTTCCCCTATGAAAGACCAAACTTCCAAAATACCCAAACCTTAGTTCCCCCTCTGACCGCCCCTAGAAAGACCTGTATCTTTGGCACCTGGGGTTGGAATTGTGGAGGCTCTTAGGGAAGCTTGGATGGAATTTATTTTGCAGTAACATTGATTTCCTTATGGTGTTTTATCTCAACTTGAATTCTGATCTTGATTTCACAGCTATTCTCTTTCAAGAGTGACACAGAGAAGAGGGAAGAAGAAAGGATATTTCCCTTAGGAATAACAGCAATCATTTTATTAAAAAAAAAATAAAAAATCCAACAAACCCTGAACTAATCATTGAAGACCAGTCAACTTCTGCACCTGAGAGGTTCCAACCCCTCTTCTAAATACTTCAGGAGTCATTAAAACTGATCCCTGGTTCAAGCCATTTGTCAGCCAAAGGGTTGGCAATTCACAGCCCCTTGCCCTGGGCTCCCACCCCACAGCTCAACCTCCCCTTCAGTGTGCACCTCAGCCTGCTGCTTGCAACCCTCCCTGCACCAGATGCTTTCCTCAACATCGCCTTTAGCTCTATTCATATCCCCTGCACTAAATAAACGCTTTAAAGCCAGGTGAACAGTAGGAGGATCACGGCTCTTGCACTGGCATTTCCTTGTGCAATCAGAATGTCCGGCATCCTTCCAACGCTTTTTCATCACTCCAGAAGGATTCACTACACAAGGCAGCTGAGCAGTATCAAGCTGCACACACCCATCAGCCACAGGGATTGGGGTGGGGAATTTCCTTGTCCCTTCAGTAAAGGACTTTATGTATTTGAGAGTGATTTTTTTTCTCATCCTACTTTTTTATAAGAAACCCCAGTGGTCCATAGTTCTGTAGTCTGTGCAGAGGAGACACCCAGGCTCACTGCATCTTTGTTGGCAAACATGCACCCCTGAGCCTTAGAAGTGAGACACCCCAGCACCAAACCCTGCGAGCCTCACCCGCAGCAAATTAAGCAGCAAGCTCTGTTATTCTGCAGCAGAGGGGAAAGCATAGGCAGGACTTAGTGACAGAGGATTTAAGGCCCTTGGTTTAATGGGTAAAACACCTAAAGTGACTGTGCTGCTTCCCTTGATCGCTGAATCATAGGATCACAGAATCGCTGAGGTTGGAAAGGACCTCCAGCATCATCAACTCCGACCCCTGGCGCAGCAAAAAGATCTTTAACAGAGCAGGCTGGAAAGGCACGGCAGAAGCTGAAAAGTTTTTAGCTGACTGTTGGAGGTGGCGTGGGATGACTCACCCTGTGGAAAAGCGGGACTGCGGGGCGGGAGAAGCTCGGAGTGCGTGGGAGCAGAGCCCGCGCTGGTCCTTGCTGGCTCCTCGGCGAGCTGCAGCCGAATGGTGGGAGCCGGGCGGACGGACGGACGGACGGAGGGACGGGCGGGCGTAGCTGCGGGGGGCGGGGAGCGCCGGGACCCGCTCCCGCAGCCGGGACTGGGGCCGGGGCTCTCCCGGGGCCAGCCGGGGTCACCGCCCCGCCGCCCGCGGGGGATGCCCGAGCCGCGGGGAAGCGGTGGCCGAGCAGCGGTGCCGCCAGGGCGGGATTTGTAGCGGCAGAGGCGATTCGGGCGCGTTCCCAAGATAAATCTGCCTACGTCTGCATTTACGGCGCGGCATTTCCCGCCGCCGGAGACACCGCGCAAACGCAAATCTGGGGTGACGGGGCACCGCTGACATCAAGGCTGGTCTGGCCCGGCTCCAGCGTGCCCGTCCCCAGCCCGCTCCGTGGGGTTTTGAAACAGGTACCGCCCGTCCCCATCCCCGCTTCCCCGCACGCTTCCCCGCAAACGTCGCGCCCGCCCTCGCGGGAAAGCGGAAATTTGGGGTTGGGAACGCGGCGTGTGCCGGCCCTGGATGACACCAACACCACGGGCACCTCGGCTCGCATCCCTTGGGACACAGGGAGCTCCCGGGAGGAGCTGAGGCGCCTGTTCAGGGATAACCCCTCGCTGTCCCCCATCACCTGCTGCCTTTCGGGAGCGTTCAAGGCAGCGAACGCTGCTGTAACTGCGGTGCCGAGCACCGGGTGGTGGTGGTGGGAGGTGGGGGGTAATTAAGGGCCTTAAAAAAAAAACAGGAAACGCCGCTTTGGGAATGAGTAACTAACCAATATTTTTTGGGGTTCCGAGTTTGTAGAACTTGGTGGCGCCAGCGGAAATCCCCGTGCCTCGACTGTCTGTTTGTAGTGCTGATCATTAGCGAGGCAGGAGGGCGAGTTGTAGGGATGAAAAAAAAAAAAACAAACACGCAAAACCCCCCCAAGGCTGCAAGTGATGGAGGGGAGCGAGAGATTATCCCAGAACAGGAGCCTGAATTCTTCCCTTGGAGGTACTTGTGTAGCTAAGACCCCAAGGCACTCCCTCACCTGCCAACATACCTGTTTACTGCCCTCGGAGAGGGGGGAAAAAGAAAGGTAGGAATGCTTTAATACCTATCTGATAAAAATAGGCAGGTAATTTTGGGGCCACAGGTTGGTTCTAACAAGAAAAAAAATATATAAAATTTAAATCTTTCTAAATTTAACTGACTTCTGTTTCTGGTCACCCATTTCTTACATTTTTCCCGATAGACATTTCGTAACAAATAGTTCCTTTCTGCAAGTAGGATCAAAAAGCCTCCTGGTCTTTTTCAGCTAAAATAAACAGTTTCAGCCCTTTTAAGTTTCTGCCTCTGAGTAATTTTCTTCCCATTGAAAATAATATTCACATCTCTTTTATTCACTCCAATTGACTTTTAATATTTTTTGAAAATTTTCGCTCCAGAGCTTTATTCAGGAGAGTTCCCCATTTGGGTGATTCTTGTTCCCAGATAATTTTTATTTCACTGCAAAAGAATTACATTAATTTTTTTTAAATGATGCTGTATTAATAATTTATCATTTAGCATTTTTTCCACATTAAGTTTAAATACACCTTCAGATAACTAATTAAACATTAAATAATATTATACTTGGCAAAACCAATGCCACTCAGCCAATATTATTTACTTTGTGATAACTGCTGGCAATAATATTTTTGGTCTATTGATATTACATACAAAACTATCAGGAGTGAGGATTTGGTCTTTCAGCCTTTGAGAACCTAAAAATTCAATAAGGTCATTTAGAACATTGAATAAAAGGCGTTCCCTTCTCTTCCTCTGTGCATATTTGCATTTATAAGGGCCAGACTCTAACTCATACAATGGCTTCTGTGATAAGATTTAAGCTTTTATTTTTCCTGGCATTTAATATCTCCAATAATAAAAGAACTGGAACTACTTTTAGAGTAATCACTTTGATAATTTTTCTCCAATCTTAAAGGATCTGGAACTCCAGTAAGAGTTAACTGTCACACCTTAGATAATTTTTAAAATTCATTTTATATTTATACTGAGGTTTCTGCATAGACTATCCCATCCATAACGTGCTGAGAGTGGTAAAGAAAATTCAGATGTTTAATTGATGGTCTGTTAATGAAAATATCTTAACCTACTAATGATAACACAGTTAAGTAAACACCTTAGGGCCAAATTCCAAGCCTAATCTCTCATATCTATTTCTTAATCTTTAGCTAATAACATAAATCTCTATAAAATGTCTGAGAATAAGTGAAGTGGGGTGTGTCAGCATATTGAGTATTGTTTCTACTTTAGGGAAGTATTTAGTTCTTGTTCTTTCAGCAGTTTAATTTCTTGTACTGAGATTTTAATTTCAGAGCCTAATCAGATAACGTATTTGAGATTAAGATCCTTTCTTCTCTCAAAAAAAACACAAACCACACACACACACACGCGGAAAAGCAGTGCAACCCACAGGCAAAATTTGCTTCGCTCCAACATGACTTCAATTCCTTAAATAATTTCTTTCGCTGCGGAGACACCCTGTAGAGAAGAAAAAAAGCTGGTCTTAGCAGTTGTGCGGTTTTTTTTGGACGGTGTTGCCCATTTTAGTGACTGATAATCTCAGGTTTTACGAACCGGTGGCTTGAGTTTTGAGACGGATCCGTGGGTGGACGGTCCCCCTGGCGTTTCGCGTGTTGCAGGGACTCGGGACGAAACGCGTTATTTGGGGGGAAACAGCTCAGTGTTTCGGTCGCTGCAGGTAGAATAATTAACTCGTAAATAATCGGCAGGGATGGGGACGGCTCTTCCCGGGCCGGCTGGGGCAGGAGCCGCTCCCGAGGCTGGGCAGGAGCTCTGGGGGTGCTGCCAGCCCTGAGGGGAGCGGCGCATCCCCTGCGCCCATCCCCTGTCCTTGTCCCCTGCCCCCTCACGGCCATTCCCACCCCACCCCGGGCCCGCCCAGAGCCTGAGGGGAAGGCGCCGGTCTCAGGGTCCCCGTTGTTTGTCCTCGTGGGCAGGAGGGGACCGGGAAAAGGGATAAATCCCCTTGGATATGAATCCCAGGCACCCCAGGCTGTGCCGGGACACCCCCCGACCTGGCCCCGCCGTGCCCAGCCCCTCACGGCGCCCTGAGGCGCTGCCCCTGGGCGGGGAGGAGGGCTCCTCCACAGAGCTGAGCGCTGCAGGTTTTACACGGTTCGGCGTAAATATCCCCCCCCAGCCGCACGAGAGAACGGCGTAGCCAACACCCCCGCTCTTTGTCAGGCGGCGATGGCGAGCAACGCGCAAAAATCCGATGAGAGTGCGAGCAAACGTCAAAGGATGGAGGTGAGCGGTGCTGAGGGAGGGAGGGAGGGAGGGAGGACGCGGACCCTCCTTCCATGTCCTGCTCTGGATCCCGGGCACAGAGCTCCAGTAACTTCGTGGAGGTTTGGGGAAACAGAGAGGACTTTCTCGTATGAGGAAACCACAGTTTCTTTTAGTGTTTGAAGACCAGCAGTATTGGGTGTTGTGCACTGAGACATAGTTATGTGGAATGTTTTGAGAGCGAGCTGCTGAAATACACTGGCTTTTATTGATATATATAAATATATATAAATACATAGATATACATACACCCACATATATATACAGTGTATATATAAACAAATATGTATATATTTACAGAGATCTCAAGCTGGTACTTCCCACCCACTGCCCAAGATGCTGTGCCCATTCGCAATGCCCCAAAGCCAACACCACTTGCATTTTCTCTAAATACAGTCTCTCAAGATCTTTTTAAACCTCTTCTTTCCCTCAATTAAACTCCGTGCTAAGCTCGTTTTAAGTCCTAGAAGCTGTGTCTTTTTAATGTGCTCTGTTATTAGAATGAAGCTTCAGAAAATCCTCAGTTGTCCTTCCTTGACAAAACAGATTTGGCTCTTTCTGAGGACTCGCGGTCCCTTTGCAACACTGAACCGCTGGAAAAGGTTTTAAATGGTGATGTATTAAATATACCAAAAGTAAGTATGCAATTCCCTGATTTACGTTGAGATCCATTCAGATATTTAAATAAAATTGCCTCTTTTTTTTTTTCCTTTTAGCAGAGATGAACAAAGAAATCATGACCTTGTTATCAAAATATGCTAACATCATAAGGCAAGTTAACTTTGCACTATTTGTACAGCATCTGTCTAACTTCTCTAGATAAGATGGAACTGGGTATTAATGGACAGCATGTTTTTAAGAAAAGCACAAAAGCAGCTTTAAGTAGTGAGAAAGTTAATGGCATTAGTGTTGATTTTAACGACAGGATTTTTTCACTTAAGTGAGGCAGGAGAGATGGAGACTTCTTATGTCCAAGAACTGGATGGAATCTTAACAGAAGCGAGGGACATAGAAGACGAGTTAAACCAGAAAAGGGAGAGTCTGAAACAGAGATTCACTGTCATGGCAAACGCTCTGCAAGGATAAATGGAGCTTGTTCATCTGCAGAAGTGCAGGGCCAAACTCAGTACGTTCTGTGTATTCAAACAAACTGTGATGAGTGTTATGGTGTCTGGGTCTTGGGTAAATATTTACAGCACTCCAGAAAACTTTCAACAACTTAAGCAGCGACTTACACATAGTTAGTAAAAATCTGTTCTAAATACCTGATTTAAATCCTGTGACTCCAAGGTTTTCAAACACTAAAATATAAGGATTTTACTTGTTAACCCATTGAACATAGTACAGTAATTTTTCTATGAAACATAGAATTTTGTAAGTGGAAAAGGACCTCAGATTATTTAATACTAACCATTTTCTGGGTTTGTTTTAGTTTTTGGGTTTTTTTCTTTCTACTTTAGAAAATGTTTTGGTGCTAAAGTCTTTGTAGAATGTACTTGGCAATCTTATTTCAATTTTTTCTCAGAATACAAATAGGTTGAAGAGATCAGCTTAGAAATAGGAGAGTTCTGTTAAGGAAAATACTTTGGGAAATGTATAAAGTCTTAATTTGAAAACGCATTTAATACTTGTACAGCTTTTCAAGGCCATTTTGTTATAAACATTAAAGCACACAGTCAAAACTTTGCTGTGATGTCAATAAATAACTAAGCAATAATAATGTGGTCTAAAATGCTCTTTTGTTTTGGGTACATGAGTATTGTTTGCTGTATATCCACTTTATTTAAGGACAATCATGGAGTTTTTCGAGCCCTTTTTCTCCCTTGTCACTAAACTCTGTTAAAAAAAGATGAAACAGAATGTATAAAGGATCATGTACAAATTGTGAGGCTTACTGAATAAAGAAAAGTGCCAGAAAGTCCTGGTGCTAGAATAAGATATATTTACATCTTTACCCCAGGGCTGTGTATCAGTTTTAAAATCCTTTCAGACTTAACCCATCCTCCTTCTACCCTTTTATTAACTATAAGTCAGAGGCAAACGTGCTGCATGTCAAAGTGACACGACTCAAATCATGAGAGGAGCTGGACACGTAGGGTGAGATTTAGATACCCAAAGGTACAGATATGTCCTTAGTAGGATTTTCAAAGTGCCTAATCATGGTGTAAGCGTCTTACATGCTTAGGAATTTTGAAAAATCCTGTATAAGGTGCCTATCTGCATCTTTAGCACGTAAAGACCTTCAAAAGTCTTGCCAGTGGTCTGCATCATATTTACCAGACTCCTGGGGTTTTTTTCCCCCTTATAATCTCACCTTGTAGTCACTTCTGGTAATGCTGCTTAAACAGAAAAATGTGGGGGGAAAAGAGAAGAAGGTTTAGGGCAGTGAAACTTTCTAGTATATTGTGCTAAGGGTTTCTAAAATCTACGCTCATCCCTAGTGATGACAAACCCCAGAGTTTTAAATTGACGCCTCTCAAGTGTCTGAATTTAGACATTTAACCTCAGTTACTTATCTAAGGCTTTAAAGAAAAATTACACAAGTTTCATTCCTGACAAATATCTGCCTGTTACCTGCATTTTGGTCTGCTTGTGCTTGGGAAAATGATTCAGCCTTTTTAATTATCTAGATTTAGTTTATGTGGCCAATATCTCCAAGTATTACTGAGAAACAGAACTTAGACTATGTGATCCAATAGTTCTATAAGTTTCCTCCCTCAGGGCATCAAGTGTTACTGTTGCAGCAATTTGGTTGTCATTTAATGTTATAATTTAATAACATGGAATATAAGAAGTAATAAGGGGAATTTGAAGAGATATTGAAAGTAAATTCAGGAAATAGGGCCCCAGTAACCTAGGTGAGCATGTGAACAGTGTGGTTGTGCTTATTATAGTTTTTAAAATGCCAAGAGCAACAAAGCCTCTGATTTTGCTGCCTGAATATATGTGAGGATATGTGTATAAGTAAACCGAGTAAAATTAATTAAATAGGGAGTTTTATAACGTTTTGGCTTGAAATGGCAAGTGTAGAAAACTTAAAACAGCCACTGAAAATAAACCAGCCTCTCCTCTTTCGAAGTTCATTAACATGTCAGCAATGGCAATTAATCAATCATACATTAATCACTTCCTGATTAAATGGAGCTTTCCTTAATTATGGTGCTGGCCAAAAATAGAGAGTGTTCTTCTGTTGGCTGCCCTTCAGGGTTCCACTCAATATCTAAATATTTGGGAGTACTCTTTACACACTGTTTTTCTTCTAAGCCATTAGAAAATAGATTTTTACTGTTTTCCTACTTGTCTCCAATTCATCCACCCCACTAATGATGCTTTTGCCTCCTCTTAACGTATTTTGGCGTTCATTGGGAGAAACAAGTTGTCTCTCTCCTCTTCTGATGTGACACTAAAAGCTCATTCATCCTGTCCCCGAGGAGGGAGCTCCACGTGAAACCCAACTGGCACCCATCCCACCACTATCCGCTTTCCCGTTTTACTCAAGGAGGTTTGGACAGAAAATTAATTGGCTTTAAAGCTGCAAAATCTGATCAGCGAAGCTCAGCTGGTAACTACGTTTTCTTTAAGCTTCTCCCCTCCTCGTTTAAGCCCCAGTGCCTGTAAATTAACACGAACGTCTAAGATTACAGATCAGTAGCCCAATATAAATGGATTTTTTTTTAAACCTGGAAACGTCCTAGACAAAGTTCCGACCCTCTTGAAGTCAGGGGGATTTTGGCACCGAGTCTTTCGCAGTTCTGAGCTTGCTGTGAATACCTCCCCAGGCTGGGAAAATGTAAGTGATGAAAAACTTGGTTGTTCTGATCACTCTTCTATTTAGAAGCGGCAAATGGAAAATACCAGATAAGGCAGAGAGAGAAAAAGGCTGGTTGTGACTGTTTGCTGAGAATGAAACTGCCTTTTAGCACAGGGGTAGGAATGGGGGTCAGAATTGAGGAAGACCAAGTGAGCAGGTCATGGATGTGTTTAAGGCTCCAGACTTTCCGTGCAGAACTGATCAGAATGCAGGTTTGCTAATCACAGGATCTTTGTCTCTGAATTGGCTTGGAAACCCTGATGACTGGGGTGGCTGGAAAAGAGCCGAGTTGGAGGGAATTTTGCATCATCGGGGGGTGGGGAACAGCCAGAAAAAAAACAATCAGTGTAACTCCCATCCTGGGGAGGGTCTGAAGGAAACTTCTTAACTAGGACTTGGGAAAGAGCTGACTTACTATGGAAAAATAACAGATAGGTAGAGCTGGATGTAAAGCAATTTGCACCATCCTGTATGGTATTATATAAAATAAGAGCAATCAGGAAGTAGGGGCTACTTAAAAAGTCAATCAATACTCATTTTTTTTCTGATAGGTCTGCTTATCCTCTAGAGATCTGCTTCCAGCCTTGCTTATTCCACATTATCCTAAATAGTTTAGAAAAAGGACATTAGAGAATACAGTTAATTTAACAGCAGTAAACTAGGAGAAGTCATTGAAAATTCATTGTAATCTCAGTAAGACGAAGGGGAGAGCTGAAATATAAATAAAATTAGAAAAGGACAAGGGGTGTCCTACATGCTTCTTACCAGGCAGAGCAATAGCTAGAGTTTGTTTGGTGGTACTGTGTGGTGAGGTGTGTTTGGTACAGCACAGCAAGTAAGACGGAAATGTAGTTGTTGCCCTCCACTCTGTGGTAGTTTGGTCTTACTAAAAGTGAGAACCAAAAATAATAAAGGTGAAGGAAACGTGATCAGTGAGGAAAGGCAGGAGCAGCTGGGTTTGTTTAGGAAAGCACAGCTCAGGGGAGGGCATGGTCAGAGATGGGGTCAGAAAGCACCCGATGCTGCCAGGTGTTCCTGGGTCTTGCAGAAAGGACAGGAAGAAACGAGCTTAATTTGCAGCAGATTTGATCTGTGTGTGCAGTGGGGTCCTCGCAGTGCCGTGCGAGCTGCCCTGCTCCCTCTCAGGGCACGGGGCAGCTTTAAAGAGCTGCTTAATTCCATGAAACAAAGGTTCCCTCTCGGCGCCTTCGCAGAGCGCTGGCAGCTTCCTCCCCGCATCCCGGAGGAAGGCTCTGTCCTAGGTCCGGCTTAGCTCGGAACAGCAGGGAACAGCCTGGTCCTTCCCTGTCGGATTCGACGGGCTAATCTGGCGCGGCAGCCAACATTGCTAAAGCCTCGCGATTCACTGAGCTGCAAAATGCTTTACTCGGCTTTCCAAACAGAACAACATGTTTTGGGGTGTGTTTTTTTTTGTGTGTGTGTGTGTGTATACGCGAACAAGAAGCCGAGGCGACAGGAGATCTCGAAAGAACTGCCTTATTAAATCCCGGCCGCCCGGCTCCGTCGCTACATCTCCCCCTTTCTCTCCCGCTCCCCAGGTACAAAAGGCACGTAGCGCTAGAGCGATCTCGCCCCGGCCGTGCCGGGCTCCCCCGGCCCCGGGGACCGCAGCGATCGCGGGCCGGGGGCGCGTCCCGCACCGGCGGCAGGGCCGGGCCCGGCGGGAGCCGCGGAGCGGAGCGTGGGCAGCGGGATGGATCAGGGAATCCTTGCCAGCCCGCCGGGACACACCGCCCCGGCTCTTATTGTGAAAGGATGATGTCAGGCAGCTCTCATCTCCCGGCGCATCTCTCTGCTCGCTGCTCGCCGCCCTGGCACCGCTGCCTCCGCTTGACCATCCGCCGAGCCGATGCCTCCTGCCCAGCGGAATATGTTAGCCCAGATCCTTTTGCCCGCCGTCAGCCTCCTGCTTGCGCACTTGCAGTATTTCCTCTGCTCTTTGATGCAATTCATTCCAGGTAAAACGCATAAACGACCAAACCCTTCTATCCTGTTATCTTGGGAGGAGGGTTGTTGCTGCTACTGCTGCTGCTGCTGCTGCTGCTGCTGCTGCTGGCACAGGTCGGTAGAGCAATTTCTATTCCATCGATGAGAAATTCGGAGCTGAGCGACCGAAGGTGCTTTGTTAGATGCTAGAAATTGTCTGTGATTTTATTGAATGGATGAACGGAGGGGCGAGGATTACAGCAGCCACGGATGGTTTCGAGCTGGAAGAGCAGTGCACAGCAGGTTCCCAGCGCACGGGAGGCAGCTCTAAGTGGGCTGCGAGGGGGTTGTTTGGAGCAGCACCATTGCTGGAGCTTCGATCTGAACGTATAGGTTGGAAACTACCCCAAGGGATCTTGCATCACAATCAAACTCGGCAGATCTGTGCCATCACTGCGCTGCCTGAGTTCTTTTTGTTTGGTTTTTTTTTTCCTTTCATTTAGTTTGTTTTGGTTTTTGTTGATTTGGTTTGGGGTTTTGCTCTGGTGGGGTTTTTTGTTTGGTTTGGTTTGGTCTTTGTTTTTTTGGTGGTTTTTTTGTTTGTTTGTTTGTTTTTTGGTCTGAGACTCGCTTTTACAAAATAGGAGCTAGTAAAGATCCCAACTTAATTCACCAAAATTTCTGGGGCTTGATGGTGGCGATGGTGGTGTTTTCCTTCCCTTTAAATTCAAAGCATTGCTCGGAGGGGCATCCAAAGATCTGAAAAGTCCTCAAATCTGCCCTGTTGTGCCACCATAACTGCCCAAAAAGTGCGGCATCCATTTCTGTCAGTGCCTTCGGCAAATGAGCAGGTATTTCTTACGCACCGACGCTCTCCTCCCTTGGCCAGGCCTTTCTCTGCTCCTTCCCTCCCTTTCTTTCCTCCCCCGTGTTTCCTGTCACTTCTCTTGTGTTCTTCTCTGCTTCCTTGGCTGGTAGCGAGGCAGTGGGTGGCTGAGCCCTTGCCCATGGGAAACCGAGCATCCACCCAGGACAAGGAGCCCACCCTGGGGACCTCCCAGCGCCCAC